CCAAAAGAGTCTCACTTGACTGCTGTCAAGAGGATACTAAGATATCTGAAAGGCACCACTGATCTGTGTCTTTGGTACCCCAAAGGTAGTAATTTCAATCTAGTAGGATATGCTGATGCTGATTATGCATGTTTTCTAGTGGATAGGAAAAGCACCTCAGGTATGGCACACTTCCTTGATTCATGTCTTATGTCATGGGCTACCAAAAAGCAAAATTCAGTGGCCTTATCCACTGCTGAAACTGAGTATGTTGCTGCTGCCTCTTGTTGTGCTCAATTGCTATGGATCAAACAACAGCTGGTAGATGTTGGTATTANTAGATTAATTCTTACTCAGCTTCATACTTTAATTAGTATACTCCTGTGCCATGTGTTTATATGATTCACTGATCTTTTGCAAAAAAAATCTGTATTATGGCGTTTGAGGCATGTTCAAGAGAGTTCTAAATGAAGAACCTGGTTCATCAGTATGAGTTCATATGAAAGCTCACGTATGTTTTCTACACTCTGCATAATTAGAAAGACTAATAATTCAATCATGAGCAGAAGTCCTATACTTGTCAAATTCCTAGAAAATTATATCCGTTAAGCATCGAACCAGTTTCGTCCATCTAGAACTCTACACCGTAAGTTTTGCCTAATATCTAGGGATGCCAAATCTATCATTAAAATTCTGAAATTTCAGTTTGATTAGACTTCTATTTGACCTCTGAAAAGGCTGTCGTTACCTATTAATTGTCTAATGCTCTTTTAAATACACATCACTTCTCTATCCTTCATCATAATTCCAAAATCGTCAAAAATACTTCTTCACTTCCAATTGCCTTCTTCTCCAAAGTTCCCAAATTCTCTCAAGAAATCAACAACCATGTCTAACCCACAAGATCATCCTGGAACCCCTCCACCACCATCTCCTTCAAATTCATCCTCAATTACTCCACCCAGTGAATCTCCAAAACCTAGGTTACGAAGGTAGAAAATGCTCGCTCAAAAAACTGTAGCATCTGGGGCTCTGAGGAAGACTTTGAATGAAAGGTTGAAAGCAAGCCAAGTGAAAGAAAGCCCAGCTCAAAAATCTGACTCCAGCTCTGAGTCTAAATCTTTTCAATCTACGACTGAGGGTGAAATACATGGGTCTTCTGACTCGGAGAAGATTCAAGAATCCCCTACTGAGGTAAGTTCATCTCTGATTGAAAACTTAGAGACTAGGTTTGTTCTGGTTGGACCCATTAGGGATGTTAAGTTGCCTGAGTTGAGTAGGAGTGGAGGTAAAAAGAATTCTGAAAAAGAAAATGAGAAAGAGGGTGCATGTGGTGAAGAAAGGGGCAAAGGGAAAGGAGCAGTTCTTGCTATATATGGGGTTGCACAAGAGAGGTTAGAAGAGAGTGGCATGAAGTCAGGGGGAATTGGTTCTAGAGAAGCTGCTGAAGGGTTGGTTCATCTGAGCAAACGGAGAGATGAACCAGTTTCATCTACTGAAGAGACCCTAGCTGATCTACTGAAAAAGGTTGGGGCAAGCTATGATCCAAAGAAACGCAGAATGGCGAAAGCCCCAAATGTTCCTAAGCCTTCCAAGAAAAGAAAGGTTTCATCCCCAACACCTACTGCCTCTTCAGTGCCTAAGGGTAGAGCCACAAGAAGCAGGGTAAAACAGAGTGAAGTTGATCTACAAAAAGCTTTAGAAGAAAACAAGAAAAAGAAAAAGGATAAGGGAAAAGGAAAGGTTGTAGAATCCTCAGAGGCTGTTGAGGAAGAAGAGATGGAACTGGTCCATCAGGAGAGGGGTACAACAGTGGAGGTTCCTACACCCAAGCCTAAGAAAACCAAGACCTCCTCCAAGAATTCCTCCTCTGTGCCTGTAGTTGTTGAACCCACACTAGCCAACAAGATAAGATCTGCAGTGAAAACCAAACAATCAAAAGTTTCTGATGATGATGACTGGAGTGGAGAAGACAAAGAAAATGATTCAGAGAAGGAACATGAAACGGGGAGAGATTCTGGACATGCCCTCTGAAGGGTTTGATGAATATACTAGGCAAAGGTGGCCATGCCTAGACTCCCTCCCCACTGCCCTTGAAATCACCAAAAGGTTCTGTGATTCAGAGAATGTGACTGAAGCCAGGGCTGTGCAGAAAAGTGAAATGAGGCCTAAGCACAAGTTTGTGTTTGAATTTGTCAACAAGTGCTTATTGACCAGACAGGAGAGAAGGCACACTGCTAACTACATGGATCTGGTTCTTATGGAGTGCCTGGAGAGAGGAAAGCAAATCAACTGGCCTGCCCTCATAGTCAAACTACTAGACAGGGTCATAAATAGTTCCAAGGTTCATGCTACCCCATATGGCTTCATACTAATCACAGTTCTGGACAGGCTCAATGTGCCTCTGAAGAAATGGGAAATGGCCTCGAGCAAAGAACATTTTGGCATCAAAACTCTTCTTGCTTGTGACTATCCAGTCAATGCCATCCCAGTTGAACCTGTTTCATCCTTGAGGACACCCATCAAGAACAAGGTTAGGACTTTGGTTCAGGAATGTGCAGCTATGGATGCTGAAATTGCTAGGCTCAAGGCTCGTGTGATTAAAGTGGAAGCTGAGAGGGATAGTCTCAAAATTGAGCTTGCAAAAGAAAAGGAGAAGAATGATGGAATTCTTCAAAACATGATGAATCTTCTCCAAACCCAACCCTCCAGTTCCTCCAAGCCTTAGGACTCCTAGTTTCTGTCTCCTGAACTAGTTCTAGTACCCCCCAGTTACCTATATTAAGGATTTTTCTGTTTTTTGCTCATGGTTTGGATATTTTTCTTTTTGTGGATTGTTAGTGGCAACATATCTCTATCAATGAAAACTGTTGTTTTCTCTTGTTAATGATTATTCTGACCTTGATAGTTTAAATATGTTTGTTTGATTTCTGATGATTGTACCATGATTGCACTTGCAGTTCCCCCGGCGGCCATGAGTACTTATTAAAATCTAGAATTCATACTGTGTATGCAACTTTTCGATGATGCCAAAAGAGGGAAGAGATATTGTGCTTTGCACATTATTCTGAAATAAGTGATATTTATAACCTAATTAACTTGGTCCTTGATGAACAGAAAATTTTCTAAGTTTAGTATTGATGGTTAAGCTGAGTTCTTACAGGTTTTTTGATCAGTAAAAAGCACAGAGTTTGTCATCATCAAAAAGGGGGAATTTGTTGGCCCAAGAACAGGTGAAGTTTTGAAGAATGACAAATGAACTCAGTCATGGACCAGGTCCATCTTGTGAAGCACTTTCATGATCAACCTACACATGTGAGATGCACGTGAAGGAGATAAGTCCTACTAATCAAGCAGTAATATCTCATGATCTGATTGAAAAGGTTGCATATTGGATAAGGGGAGAAAGTCTCCTTATATGAAGAGAACACAATCCGGATAAAGAGAGTGTTAGAGTTTATATCTTCAAGGACTCAACTACGATAGAAGATCAAAAATTGAGTCCCAATCAAACTCTGATTTCTAACCTATTAAATAACAGTGATTGTTCTCTTTTACAGGTATTGCACAAATGCAGAAGTTAAACTAAATTGAAAGCAAAAAGAGCAAGGCGATTTTGCGAGCAATTTGTGTGAGATTTTAGTGTGCACTCCTGAAGCTACTTGAACGAGATAGAAGAATCAGTTCCATTGTATTTTTTCTTATTCTAGTTCAATTGTAGTAGATGGTTTAAAGTTGTACCTTTCAGCTTTCATAGAAGCAATTGTATTAGGTACTTTGAATGTTCAAGTTATAAGCTAATTTGAAGTTGTCGCAACAGTTGAGGCTGTGTGCAACAACGGGATTAGAGTTAATCCTTAGGTTTATAAAGAGTTTTTGTAAATGCTGTTTTGGCTCAGTGATTTTAGTGGAAGTTTGGGAAAATCCTACTGAGTAGTAGGTCGTGGTTTTTTCACCTTTTGAGCCAGGTGTTTTCCACGTAAAATCTCTGTGTTCTTTATTTTATGCACTTTTTATTTCGCAAACAGTAGTAGTTAGAACACCTAGAAGAACCAGGCTCTTCTAGAGCGAAAATTGGGTACCACACAAATCACCCCCCCTCTCTTGTGTGGTATAGACGTTTAGAACATCACTTTTTCTTTTAATAAATAAAAAAAAAATGATTCGATCGAACCCTATGTAGGTTGACTACGTATCATGACGCCGCATGAATCAGATCTTTGCGTAGTTCGAAAAGATCGGAAATAAAGTAAACAAAGCAACGTTCTCTTTTTCTTTCTTTCTTTTTTTCTTTTTTACCTTAATGACTACTCTGATGAGAAAAGAGAAAGAAGCAAATCCTTTTTTTTTGAATTTCTAGACTTAATATTCTATAACATATTCTAAACTCAAGCTTAACGAGCATATATATATTTTTTTCTTTTTGAAACAAATACTCTATGGGAATTATTAAGGAAAAAACCTTAGAAGAGAAAAATATTTTTTTTATTCTTCTTCTTTTTTTTTAGGAAGAAAATCTAAAGAATAAACCAAAGAAAAATATTTTGGATTTTCATTTGATATCCCTGAAGAAATATTTCGAAATGAGAAATGAACAAGATAAAAAAAATATGTCTTTGGATTCCAGTTTGATTACCTAAGGGAGAAACTCTGAAGATAAACTAAAGATAAAATATGTTTTTTTTGTCCTTCTATATACAATATCCTAAAGTTCTAATGAAAACAAAAAGATTTTTTTTTTATTTTTCATTAATTTTTCAAAGAAGAACCTCAAAAGAATTTTTATTTTTTGGATTTTTTTGAATAATATATTAAAGAAAACTTTTAAAGAGGTACTAAAAGAAAATTCTCTTTTTTTCTGAATTTTTAGTGCTAATATACTAAAGGAAATATAAAAACAATTTTATTTTAAGTTCTAGATATTAATTGCCTTAAGGAAAACCACCTCAAATAATTTTTTTTAATTCCTAGAATTAGTACTCTAGAGAAAACTTCTAACGGACATATAAAAGCGCAAAATCTCATTTTTATTGTTTTTTGGATTTTTGATTTATAAAACTCTTTTTCAAATACAAATTAGAAAATATAATAACAAGAAACTCGACACTGTTGTACAAAACTAGAAGGTAAAAGACGACATAAAAAAATAAACTCAAAACATAAAAAATAAATTTTAAAAAAAAAAACATCTTCTTAAGCAACTCCTGACTGAGCGATCCTGACAGGATGGTCCCGAGGTGTCTGTCATGCTCAAACTCCGGTAAGTAGACCCACACCTGTATGAGAAAATTAAGACCAAATAAAGCTAAAGACCTAGAACGCTAAGTGAGACAACAACCCTTCATGTTGGACACATGTGAGACATGATTGTGACTGTTTTTTTAAAAAAATTAACCTTTCTGGCAAAAAGTGGCTAAAAATATAAGATTTGGCTAAGACCCCGCGAAGCCAAGAACCTAACTCACTAGGAAGACCAGACCCTATGTGGGTTGCCTACGTATCATGTCCCGAAAAACGAGAATCAGGTATGCGTAGTTCGGGCAGATTGGATACGGGCAAGAATTAAAAAAAAACTAATTTAGAGAAAACATATTTTTTGTCTTTTTTTTTCAAAAGTGATGAAACATGTAAACTCTTTTTGGATTTTCTTTTCCCTTTTTTTGATTTTTTGATTTTCGGAAAATGATGAAAAAGTGCAAAATTGTTTTTTGAATTTTCATGGTTTTTTAAAACAAAAGTGTGACAGAAAACATAATTGGGCCCTACTTACTTTATTTTCATACTTCAGCCTCTTTTTTTTCTTTTATTTTCATTTGCCCTCAACTATCATTGGTCCGCCAAATGACCCTTTTACCCTTGAAGATTGCAACATGTATCACATAGGATGCATCAAGATGGTCTTTTATTTTTGGGTAACTTGTCCTAGACGGACCCAACCATTGTGTTGAGCCCCCTAAGTCAAATGCACGTGATGCAACAAACGTTCCTACTAGGGATCCGACATGAGGCTTTGTTATTCTAGGTTTAAAACTTGGGTTTATTTGTTCTATACCTGGCTTACCCGAACGGACAGCTCGAGCTGAGAGAGGCAGCGTACCGGGAATATAGAAGCTTCACCGGCTTTGCAACTTGTCCGAACCTCGTTCTAAAATTGAGATATGACTCTAACAGAAGAGAAGCTACACAAAGTGCACCCTTCCCAGATGATTTAGAAGACTTAGAGAGAGGAGGGTTTCGTAATAGTTTATATGCAGTTCAAATAATATCAAAGAGGTAAAAAGTGACAATTAGCACATTAGGCTCAAACATATAAAAACTAGATAATAAATAGAAGCCAACTATAACAGTTACTCTAAGCTCGAATTCTGAACCCTGAACTAGAAGTTCTGGGTTCATGTCCCAGCAGAGTCGCCAGAGTTGTCACACCTCCTTTTTACTACCCCCGGAAGGGTATAAGGGAATTTTTCCAATTTAAGTGACAATCGAAACATGATTTATTTATTTATTTATTCAGAGTCTCCACTTGGGATAATTTATGGTGTCCCAAGTCACCAGTTCAAATCCCGAATCGAGAAAAGATTGACTCTGTTTTACAGTCCGCGAACACAGAAATCTGGGTAAGGAATTCTGTTAACCCAAGAGAAGGTGTTAGGCATTCCCGGGGCGTGGTTTTAGCACGGTCGCTCAACTGTTATTATTGGCCTAATTATCAAATTTTAAAACACTTTTAAACCTATGCATTTTTTAACTTTCAAAACCGCTTTATTGATTTAAGGAATTATTTCAAGGTTATCTAAAACACATCGTAAGCCACGCTACATGAAATGCACTTGTGATTTACGACCCATTCTGTTTAACCTTGTTGGAAATTGAAGTCGGGTCACATGTAATGCACACCCGGATTTATAACATGTTTATTTTAATTATTATTCGAAGTTATTTTCGGGTCACATGAAATGCACACCCGAATTGGGATTTACGTATTGTGACCATGTCATGAGAACCGTACCAATAGTCACGATAATTTATTATTAACACGCATAAAGCAAATCATATTGGCTACTATACATTATAGAAAAGCAGAGTTAAAGAAACCGATGTAGGCCTACGAGAGTTAACACGCAACTTGCACAAGTAGTGTAACTAGAGATGTCAAGTAAAGGAAACTAAAACCATATTAATTTTTATATCCAATGATACTGAATTTTTCAAACAATTAAGAGGAAGAAGGTTATAGAACCAATATTTCTAGCATAAACTTTCAAAAACATGATAAGGAAAAATCACTTTGTCCAATTGGATTTAGTCATATTATTCCAAACCAACCTATTGTTATTAAGAACAAAGATATATTTGGACATCAAACATGTTTCAACGACCAACCAAAAATCCGATGAGATCCATTTTAATTATTCAACATCAGTACTCCCAATAAGATCACAACATGGATTATAAACCAACATTCCTATGTAAATGCAAAAAAAAAAAACAGAAGAAATAATGGCAAAAAAAATGGCAATGAATCAATTATAAGGAAAATTCATCAAATGCCAAAAACAGAATAAAATTGAAAGAAAGAAACTGAACCTTTAATAGAATTTCAGATGGAACCTTCTTCCATATTTGATTCAATACAANCGGTAATGAATCAATTATAAGGAAAATTCATCAAATGCCAAAAACAGAATAAAATTGAAAGCAAGAAACTGAACCTTTAATAGAATTTCAGACGGAACCTTCTTCCATATTTGATTCAATACAAAGAGACAACTCCAACATGAACCGTGTAACAGCAAATTCAAACAGGGGTCACGGACTTAAACCTCAAACTGCAACCTGAACCTCGACTCAGCCGCGTCCCAACCAACCGTAGCAGCAACAAAAATAGAACAAAAGGCAACTAGAATTCGAACCTAAACCAGACTGAATTTGCTCGACACGAATGGAAACAACAACTCCGAATCTCGATGGCAACTAGTGAACGACAACGGATCCGAATCCACCTCTGTCCCTTCGCACTCTATTTTTCACTCAATCTTCTAACTGTTCAGTCACTCTCTATGCGTGTATGCGTATCTTCCGACGAATTTTAGTGAAAGAGGGCTGGATGTGGCAGATTTCAGGGCAAGGAGTCGGGGTCGGTGTTGTTTGATGTTATGGGGTGTAGAAGAAGATGGTTAGATGAGGAGGTCATTGCTGGTTCTCTAGGGTTGTTTAGTGAGGAAGACGATGGGTGTCATGGAGGGGGGGGGTCCATCCATGTGTAAAAAGGCACCTCTGTATATTAGGTCCTAGGGACTGATTTTTAGGTCTTAGGCTAGTGTTATTTTCAGCTTCTTAGGGTCTTTTTTATTTATTTTTTGTTCCCAAGAAGAGTCTAGAAGGGTCCCTAGAGTTAGCTTGCTGGGTATTGGGTATTGGACTTAAGGGGCTAATCTGAATTGGGCCAAAAATTGAGCTCTAAAACTCCTAAAATTATGGTCTAACACCTTAATTGACTCCTTTTAAAATAAGATAAAAATACTACACAATACAAAGCTATTCCTAATTAATTAAACTAAACTATATTAAAACATGAAACTATTTTTGTGTTTTCAAGATTATATTAAAAATAAGGTACTATTTTTGTATATTGTTTATTTAAATTTATGAAAGAACATAAACAAAAATATTTTTGTAATTTTCATTTTGTGACGAAATAAAGTAAAAAAGTCAAAATTAGTTAAAATAGCTATATTAGACCTAACTAAATATTTTACGCTAAAATGGGTGAAATTTCTGGGACGGTCAAAAATCACATGTCTACAATTATAATACTGGTTTAACAAAAAGTTGCGTGAGCTCCAAACTTCTTCCTTAGAAGCATCACGACTTATCTTCTTTCTATTTATGAAGCTTGTCATGAATATCTTCTCAAAGGCAGTTTCAATTGATTCTGCACTTCTCTCGTGATTATAATACTATAGATGAACTCGCTAAATTATCTAAACTCTCTTCCAAAATAACATTGTGCGTTGAAAAGGCGAAAATATACTGTTCAAAATAGAACTTCAAAAGCATACCAACTATATTGTATTCAATTAAAGCAGGCAAAGACAAACCAATCCCATTTAATCACAATTGTTCCCTACGGGCTTCTATCGTCTCCATTTGACTTATGTATCCATATGTATTCACAAATTGCTTATACTTAAAACTCAATCAAAAATTCAGCTCGAACATATCTAAAAGGAGAATCAAAACCAGTCATGAAGCAATGACTAATGCATAGTGCGCAAATAAATTTAGACCAACACATGAGCGAAAACAACAGGGGAAAGAATGCACCTGAAATGGATGTTTCATTTTCTCAAGGTGTTAGGCAGTTGCAGGAGCAAAAACTAAACCGTGGCTACAATGGGAACTCGGATCAGACAAAAGCTTGGACAGAACCTCAAATCCGTGACTTCGAATCGGCACCGGAAAACTCGAACTACGAGTGAACTGAATTTACTTTTCTGGCCAGCAAAATGAAGAACCAACAGACAACATTTCCTTCTAACAAATGTGGTCAAAAATCCCAAAGAAACCAAGTATAGCAGTCACCAAAAACATATGTACATCGCTGGAAATTGCTCCTAGTCGAATCCTACTTCATTCCATTTCCGGTTTTCCTCTAGGGTTAGGCTGCTGCCTTTGTTTTCAAGAAGAAGAAGCCAATATTCAGGGGGTCTCTTGGGTTGTTTTGTCGAGAAGGGGAAGGGAGCAGCAGCTATGTTCTTTACGATGGTGTGCGGCAGCTATAAGGGTGGTCGTTCGTGTGGTTGGCGTGAGGTTCAGGGGTGGTCGTCGAGGGGGTTAGCGTGAGATCTAGTGGCTGAAGGTTTTTCGCTAGGGTTCTATTAGTGAGGGTGACGATAGAGCTCTAAAGATCAGGGTTCTGTTGTCTTGTGTCCATGGTTGAGAAGGTGAAGAAGAAGATAACTTAGGTTTTTTTTGGTTTTTTGTTAAAAACGGCTTGTTCATCCCCCACCCCC